GGCAAACGGTGTGACGGGGTACGTCCAGGAGAGGGAGCCAGATGATGGCGGCAGAGGGCAAGTGAAGCTGGAGGAGAGGTGAACCTTGAGTGTGTAATCCAGGCGGGTTATGGTGACTTCCAGGTAGGTACATCCATCTGTGGTTCAGCAATTCCAAGTATCCTGAAGATGAAACAGACTTGAGTCCAAACACCAAAAAATCCAAGCACAAAAAAAAACCCAGATAAATCCAAAAACTGTGACAGCACAAATGTCTGAGCAGAGACCAAGTAAAACCTAGTACTGAGTGGCAAGATTCTACCGTGAGTAGTTAATCATCCAGCGATGTGAAGTGGTTCCCTCTCCTCTTAAATAGAGCTCTGCTGCGGTTGATTAGAGGATCTGCAGCTGCCGCTGATCGGTAATGCCCCACAGCTGGTGAGTGCCCTCTCCTGGAATGACAGTCTTACAAAGATGTTGTGGAGAAGAGGGAGTACTCACCCCGTCACACAACACACCCCAGAAGTCAGTCCCACATCCAGGGCCGTATCAAGGCATTTGGGGACCAAGGCAAATATAGGCTTGGAGCCCCCACCACCTCACTTCCTGCTCAGTTAATATAAGATGGCAGCGTGCTGAGAGTACAGATTGTTGTTGCTTTTATTTAATGAACAATCATTTTAAAGCACTGTTATTATATCTGACTGTTTTTAACAGCAATCCTAGCTCAGACATCACATCACCTTCCACATATATGTCATGAGCTCACTGAGCGCCACATTACCAGATTCATATTGAAGTTGTTTTAGTGAAAGTTACTTCAAGTAATGCAAAAGTAGTGTAATGCCTTACATTTTAAAATCAGTAATATTGTAATGTAATGAATTACTTTAAAATGAGGGTAACAAGTAATAAATAATGCATTACAGTTTTGAAGTAACTTGCCCAACACTGGTGTCAACCATGACAGCCCTACAACATCCATAGCCTTGAGATTCCCAGGACGAACCTCATCCGCCCCCGGGGCTCCGCCGCTGTGTAGTTGTTTGACTACCTCAGCAACTTCTGCCCCCGAGATTGGACAGTCCATCCCCAGGTCTCCCGGCTCTGGTTCCTCCTTGGAATGAGCATAGGTGGGATTGAGGAGCTCCTCAAAGTATTCCTTCCACCGTCCGACTATAGCCCCAGTTGACGTCAGCATCTCCCCATCCCCACTGTAAACAGTGTGAGCGAGTTGCTGCCTTCCTCTACTGAGGCGCCGGACAGTTTGCCAGAACCTCTTTGGAGCCGATCGATAGTCTTTCTCCATGGTCTCACCAAACTCCTCCCACGCCCGGGATTTTGCCTCGACAACTGCACTGCTGCACCCCGCTTGGCTATCCGGTACCTGTCTGCTGCCTCCGGAGACCCACAGACCAGCCACGCCCTGTAAATGTTTGAACAACATTTAAAATTATTTTTTAATGAGTTCCACTGTATCACACCAGTAACAGAGACACACATTTGTTTGAGGGTAGTTCCAGCAAAGCGTTGGTTAAAATAATTTTTCCTCCTGCTTGTCTCACTACTTATGTTAAAAAGGCTTTGAAGTCCATGTGGTAAAATACTGTGTTTTGCTCTATAAACAACAAATAAAGTTTGTTAAGAAGTCCTTCAATTTGAGCAGTCCTGTACCATTGAGCAGGGCTGATGGTTTTTCCCTTGGGTCCATGTGGCAGAGGTGAGGAGTGAGCACCACCTCACCCCGCCACGTGGACCTCAAGGGATAAACCATCAGTCCTGCTCAGTGGTCAACTTTCCTCATGGGGTCACTCATAAAGACAGTGGGAGGGTTATGACTTTCCACATTCCTTTGGTATTACTTTTGTTTGTCATCAGATTTGTGTAATAATCACTCTTTGCATGTCTTATTACAGTTGTCAACTTATTTTTATAAGCTTTATATTTTTGTTCATCATTTACTGTACGATATTTTACAAAGTCCCGATAAAGCTTATTTTTCCTTTTACAAGATTTCAATAAACCCTTCATCATCCAAGGTTTATTATTAATTCTTGCTTTGTCATTCAATAACTTTATTGGGCAATTTTTGTTATATAACCATACATACTTTTTTAGAAATAATTTATAAGCGTTATTTACATTATTTAAACTATAGACGTCATCCCAATGTTCTTCATCAAGATCACCCTTAAATTTATTTAATCTTTCCTCAGTTCTTAATCGAATAACTTTACTGCAGTTTTTTTATTTTGACTTTATAATGGAAAGTTACAAATATGGGTAAATGATCAGTTGTGTCATTTATCAAAAGACCACTTTTAACAGGTTTTTCCAATATGTTTACAAAAATATTATCAATTAATGTGGCACAACTAGAAGTTATTCGGCTGGCCACAGTAATGGTAGAGTAAAGACCTTTACTGCATATCAAATCCAAGAAATCTGAACTGCTTGTATGATTGGACACATTCAAATGATTTATATTAAAGTCCCCACAACTTATAGATACTTAATTTTCATTAATCCCAACTAATAATTGTTCCAACTTATTGTTAAATACTGTAATGCTGGAACCTGGGGTTCTATATATGCATGTGACAATGATATTCTTCTGATTCTTCATTTCAATTTCTACAGTTAAACCTTCTAAAAAATCTTCTATCGCTGTAGTCATACATGCAATTGTTTTACATTTCAGCTCTCTCCTAATGTATAGAGCAACCCGTCCTCCTCTTTTATTAATTCGATTAACATTGAACAGTTCATAACCCTCGAGATGAAATTCTGCTCCTTTTTCATCCGTTAGCCGAGTCTCAGACAGAGCTATAAGAGTACATTTGTTTTGTAAAGCATTCAAATAATCATGAATTTTACTAAAATCAGAATACAAAGTTCTGCAATTTAAATGAAAAAGAGAAAATGAGCCAGCCGTTTCTACACATTAAACTCTGTATCTGTAAAGTATCTACATGTATCTCTTTTATTTGAACATAAATTTGACTCAGAGTCCAGTCCATCAAGGTCATAGACACGGCATTCTGAATTTGCATCATGTGTAAAAGAATGTTCACAATCTACGGACATAATTGGGGTATATTTCTAGTCAAAATTCATCGACTCATATCATCGTATTCATACACCAGATACTACCGGACGGTGTGGCGATGTTTAAAACCTAAATTGGCTTCACTGGAGGACTGGAATGATCAGTTAAAGACTGAAGGCATAGAGAGGAAAATTATCTCAGCCTGACCCAAACAGTCTTGTTATCCGAATCTGACGCCATAGCAGCCTTCGAGATGTGAACAACAAACCCCCACGAAGGAATGCAGACAGATGCTGTGAAAACCCGACCTCCCGCCCGCCTTCGGATTGGTGGACTTCAGCCTGGCGAGGTCATCAACCTGGCGAGGTCATCAACCTGCAGGAGTCACTGTGCTCTGCGCTCCTCCCAAGATCTCCCTCCCACCTGTGGCTACAGTGGCTGAGCGCCTTGAGATGGCTGCTCTCGTTGGGGAAACAGGATCCTAGCCCCCCTCCTTCCTCTTGGGCTCTCATGTTGTGAACTGCTGATGTTTGTGCTTACATGTTTGAGGTGTTTTTTTGTATTGCAAAGCTACGCCCTGTCGGGAGTAACTCTGGAATGCCTTTTTCCCCCTCCCCCAATTTATCCTCATGTAGTTCCCTTTTCATAAATGAAATGCTGGCGGCGCGTGCATACGCAGCGGCTCTCTCTCTCCCCCGTACTTTAGCGAGAGGTTGAGAGTAACGTAATTTCATTTCTCTGCATGTCCTGTACATGTGGCAGAATTGACAATAAAACTGACTTTGACTATTAGCATATCATTCTCTTCACTGGTCTGTTTTATACTTGTCCAGTTCTGTTAGATCTCTAATGAGTAGTGTCTTTGCCTGTTCTTGTGACCTGTTCAGTTTGATGAATATTTTAGTTATTTGACCATGTTGACTGAATCTTTCCTTGTTTTCTCAGCATTCTGGCTTGTCTTGCAGTTTCGGCATTCTTCCGAGTCAGGTGTTCATTTACATATACGTTGGTACCACTAAGTTTTTTTTACCTTGCCTTTCTTTACCTTGCAGTAACTGAGATTTTTGGTTTACGATTCACAAATCTGATTATCATAGCTGGCTTCATATTTTTGTTTTTCTTAGGTAGTGGATGACATACTTCAATATCCTGATCTGTAATATTTGTCCCTTTACTACAAAAAAAGGGAACCATCAGCTGTTCTAAAGAGTCCAAGTCTGGTTCTGTTTGTCCATCGTCAGCCTTCTGTCACAATCTGCCCCTGCCTCCCTGACTGTGTCGCTCCCCTGCCTGATTAGTCTTTATTGTTCTCACCTGCCCCGTGTTAATCCACCCATGTGTTCCTGATTGTTTCCCTGAGTATTTATACCTCCCGTCTTGTTTGAGTCTTTGTCGGATCATTGTTGTTTGTTGTCAGCGTTGTTTTGTTCTGTCGTTCCCGCTCTGCCATTAAATCCACTTTTATTTTATCTGTGCCTGCATTCCTGCCTCCTGATAAGCTCCACCACACATGGTCTGCTGTCATCCACACCCGCAACGTGACACCTTCACAGCTCTGGCAAAAGATCTATTAAACATTTAATAACCACTTATCAATTTAACTGTAGAACAATCAAATTTAATTAATTAATTTAATAATTACTAATCAATCACAATACTTTACTTCTTTCAGCAGTCAGATAAAGGTCAACATGGTAAACTTGAGAATTACTGCATAAACAAGGCTCAGATCTTAAAGTAATGTTCCGGAGAGGATTCTTTTTTTCACATTATATCATCATATCAATTTGTCGGTGTAATTTAGTGATTTTTGTTGGCTTTGAGCAGGTCAGATCATGAAACATTTGAAAGTTGAGATTAATTACTTTAATGAAAACACACACACACACACACACACACACACACACACACACACACACACACACACACACGCGCGCACAAATTGTTTGCACATTGTAAACCCCCATCCCTCACCTGGGCAAAGCCCCAGATCTTTTTCAGCCGTAAATCCGCCCCTGATCCCCGGATCGCATAGATAAGAGAATCTGAATCTAAGCAGCCTGAGATCTTACTGAGGACCACACCCCCGTGGCTGTTTATTGGTTGATGGGAGTAATCTAGCCTGGATGTGGCTGCTCCTGAGGGTTTATACTTCTAAAGCTCCACCAACTCCCACATCCTGTGGAACACTTGTTGTTGTCAGCGCATCCCTGGGACAGGCCACCCGAACCGCTTCAGCTCCCCTGGGATTTCCCGCTGGGAGTGATGAACTCCATCGAGCCGCAGTCCCATCACCAGCACCACACCTCCCCGAACGTCGGCTCTCTTCCTCCTAAAGGTGCCCAGGAGTCCCCGGACATGGCCGCTGCGGTGTACTGTGACAACTTCAGCAGCATGTATCACCAGCAGAGCCTCCCAGGCGCGCAGAGAGCGGCTAACTACGGCCTCGGGGACTACACCTCCTCCCCAAACCCGTACCTGTGGATCAACGGACCAGGGGCAAATTCCTCCACCTCTTACCTGCACGGCAACAACCCGGCATCGTTCATCCCGCCCTCCTACAGCTCCCAGCGGCAGTTCCTAACCAACTCACCTGGATTCGTGGGGCCCGACTTGGGCTGGCTTTCCATCGCCAGCCAGGAGGAGCTGCTGAAGCTGGTGCGTCCTCCCTACTCCTACTCCGCGCTCATCGCCATGGCCATCCAGAACGCGCACGAGAGGAAGCTGACCCTGAGTCAGATCTATCAGTACGTGGCCGACAACTTCCCCTTTTACAAGAAGAGCAAAGCCGGCTGGCAGAACTCAATCAGACACAACCTGTCTCTGAACGACTGTTTCAAGAAGGTCCCGAGGGACGAGGACGATCCAGGTACCTCCAGATAGATGAATAAATAAATAACAGAATAAATACATGTTTAGATAATCTGTCATCCACCATCCATGCTGATGGCTAAAGAAATAAAAGCAGATGGTGCCTTTGGCGTGGACAAACTGATGCCGCAGTTTTTACCTGTCCTAATTTTTCCTTTTGCAGAATTGACCTTATGGGCTTCTAATTTATTCAGTTTAAAAATAAGTTCTTCAGCACAGCAGTATTGGTGCTTTCACAACATTTTTTTCTTCTATTTTCTGCATAATTCATATTTACAGTTTTTTCTCTACAAACTATTCCAAGAGTTTCACACATAGATTATATTTCTGATATTCAGACTAACACCAGCTTCAGAATGTTCCTAACTATGGATCTTCAGTGAACTACAGTTTAATTAACATTAGTTATTACTGAGGTTTCAGGGCTTATATGGTTAAATAAAGGACAAATGTTCATTCTAACAAGCTTTTTTTTTTACCTTAGAAATGAGAGTTTTAAGCATGCCTGTTTACTGTTATTGTTAAAACTTTTTAAAACATTTTTACACTTCCCGTCAGGTTAAGATTGAGAAAAAAAATCAAAAATCTGTGAAAAGATATAACATTTATATGTGTTTCTATATTCATTTATAGGAAAAGGAAACTATTGGACGTTGGATCCAAACTGTGAAAAGATGTTTGACAACGGGAATTTCCGCAGGAAAAGAAAAAGGAGATCCGATCCGAGCATTGGCGGAGGAGCAGCAGCTGTAGCTACAAAGGTGGAGGAGTGCAGAGCCAGCGTTTCCACTTCGCTGAAGACGTCAGACAATCCCCCGGCCGTGGGACCTTCTTCTCCTAAGATGGAGGCAATGATGGAAACCCAAAAAAGCACATCCTCGTCTCCGGCAGGTCTCACCACGGCCACTCCCTGTTTTAATAACTTTTACAGCAGCATGTCCACGCTCAGCTCAGGGTCCCCCAGCCGACAGGGGTCCCTGGGACTGCTAAACGAGCTGTCCAACAGGAACATAACCGCCCTGGGTTCGTACCACCCGGGCCACAGCGGACAGGACACAGGGCCGTCAGATCACAGCGATGGCCTTCATTTCAACCGTGGAGTGTACTACAACACGTTTGGCCCTGGGCAGAGTGGACAGTTTAACACACACTTTTACAACAGCTACAGTGTGAACAGCCTCATTTATCCCAAAGACGGGACTGAGCTCTAGGACACATCTGATCCGTGGAAAAGCCCACAGAGAGAAACATGTAGGATTGTTCTGTCCAGCCCAGACAAGTCAGAACACCAAATACATGTATGTCAATTACAATTTCCTTCTGCTTTTCTGTGTTTTTAAAGATTTTCTTTTCTTTAATTGCTAAATTGATTTAGTTAATCAATCCTGTTGAAACGTTTGAAATGTTCCAACAGAAACCAGCCAAAGCTGCCTTCGTGAGACCGCCATTACCTCAAAACAGCTCTGCCACAATGCCGGAGTGCCCTCTTCTCTCTGTCCTCCATGCTGACTGAAACCATAGCTATAGCACTTGTGTGGATTTGATACATTTATAATTCTTTAATTTTTACAGATAGTTTGTGTATATTTATGGTATTTATATTAACAGACGTTTGTCCCAACACTAGTTCATAAAATGCACCGAGAATAGTTTCACTAAACCTGTCTTAAATATATTGAAGCACATTTTCAAAGCTATATTGTTTCCTGTCAGGATCCAGTCTGACATCTATTAAACACCTTTTTGGATCTGTTGTTAACTGTTTGTCTTTTCTCAACATTTTCTACCAACAGCTTGAACAAATAACCCAATCACTCCTATGAGTTTTGTTTGTTTGACCAGCCTTTACTTTAATCTGAATGCACTCCTCTAAACTCATATTTTCGCCACAATCCGTTTATTTCTACGTAGTAGAGCTCGTAAAATGTCTGCATTGTTTTTTGTGGTTAAAACGCTGAAACTTTTTATCTGCAAGAATATTTTATAACTGCTCTAAACATCTGCTTAGCTCTAGAATTCAGAGATTTAAATTTTGGGTACATTTTGTAGAATATGTTCATTTAGTAAGATACCTGCTGTGATCTGTGCTTTAGAATGTTATCATAGTCATTTAGTACCCATCTGATCTGAACATGCACGGCCCCTTTACAGGGTCGCCGTGAGTTAGCTTTTTATTATCTGATAAAATGTTCATTGAGGAAATGTTGCTGCTTTCAAACATGAGCAGTTAAAGGTAAATGAAAAGAACGCTCAGGAAATCTGAAATGATATTTAGACGATGTTTTCCTGTTAAAATGAGAAAATAAACGATTGTTTACTTTTATAAAAGATAGTTTATTTAAATCTGAGCTGATATTTTACAACAGGTGAGTCCAACAGATGCATAGAAAATAGTTTAAAAAACTAAATACCTTGTAAGCAGTTTAAATTCAGATTTTCCTACTGAGTAACACTGCTGTTTAGAGTCATTCTGCACAATATCACACATGATGAAAGCTTAAACAAACTTTTTGTAATTTTGTAAAAACATAAATGTTTTACAGTGTATTTATCAGCTCTAGGAAAAGCTGCTCTGAGGAACAAAAATGGCTGATGTTTGCTCAGAATGTCGCTAACAGCAGATGTCTCGATAGAGAGATGTCTGAAACAGCAGAGCTGTTGTCTTCCTATGCCAGTCCACACGGATCAGTTAAGGACTCTGAAGAGAGGAAATAACTCCTCAGCCGACCAATAGGATTTAAGCGCCTCTTTAGTCCACGCTGAGCAGGGGCCATTAATCTTTTGTTTCTGTGGAGAAATGTTTTTTAAAGAAGATATTTACACCCCTGGTGGAGATTCAGTGGATATGAAACAGTAGAGTTCATTTTTACTTTCTGTAGTTGGCACTTGGTTTGTTCAGGTCGCCTTTTAACTTCCATTTTATTAACACACTTGGAGCAATATGGTTTATAATTAAAGGTAAACGTATAACAACATCAAATATTTATAATAATATAAATAACAACAAATCTAAGTGTTTCAAGCTTTCTTTGCTGCTTTTACCTGAGAAGGGGTGTGACGGTTTAACCTGTCAGTGAAAGGGTTCAACGATGTGCTGTGAAATGAAGACAATGCTTTCATCAAGTGTAGCTATTGAATTAAATCTGTTTGTTTTGGATCTTCATGAGAAGAAAGACGTCTTCCCTATCAGGAAGAACAGAGCAACAGTTTGTTGTGACTTGTGTCATCAAGGTTATTGTAGGGAAATAAATGAGTCACTGCAGAAATGAACGTTTGTTTGGTTTAGTAAATCTGGACCTTCAGACTAACTCCATATAAAATATACATGTACTGAAAATCACTTTTTAGCTGAAGGCAGTCTAATCTGAATGAAAGCCTTGATGGAAACACCTCCACCAGAAGACCCAGGTGGACTGAAAACACCTGCTCCTCCTGTGCAGACTGCACCAGCACTGTCAGCCGAATGAGCTCCTTTGCTGCCAAATGGGAACTTCTCAATTAGAGAGGATCCCCTGACCCAGGCTCTGTGTGATCACCTTCTTTTGCATCTAGAACATCAGACATCCTGTCCTAATTTGGCATTTGCACAGCTCTGTCAGTTTGACATGTGAAAAGCGGCATTGTCGGGGCGGCTGGGAAGCAGGTTAAGCAAAGGTCTGATGAAGCTATTCTGATGGGTGACTATACTGTAAGTTCATGACCTTAAGCAACCCAACACGACCCTCAGTTCAGATTGTTTCTCTGAAAATGAACAGGGAAAGAGGTGTGCCTCGCTAATGAGAAATGTCTTGGAGAGAGGACAGGAAGCAACTGTTAGTCTCTGTTTCACATGAAGAGCTGAAGATGAACGTTATCAAGGATCCCTGACTGATGGGAAACGAGGACAGGGATGTTGGTGGCTGGCTTGGGGTTAATTTTAGGACACGAGAACTTTTGAGACCAGGAATTATTGACAAAGAATTGAAAGATTACAGTAAACATGATAATACAATTACAATACACCACAAAGAGTAAGTTTATATTTACCTGTTTTTAGATGCTTGTTTTAGTTTTAGTGGGACACTCTTCTCAACTAGTTTTGTAAGTTGTTCACTTTCATCAGTGCTTATGGTCTACACACTCCTTTCATCGCTAAAATTAAATCATTTGTTAACACCGAAATAAAGACATGAAACTGTCAAAAAGAAAAAACAAGGCAGCAGAGAATAGGATTGATGCTGTGAAATAAGGAAACAGCTTAATGGTTTGTGTTGGGGAAAGTTAAAGAGTGTGAAGTTGATAGTGGGGTGACGAGAGAGCCTAGTTTGGAGTATGATTTGATCTTGGAAAGCTCACTTAAGTGGTTCATTTACCCCTCATGTGGAGCTGGTGAATTGGAGTTAGGTCAGCTCCGGGTTGAGGTGTTGTTCATTATTTTTCCGCCTGTCAGATTCAGTGAGTGGCTGCTGCAGACGGTGGCTGTTTGGTGGCCGAGGAGCAAAGGGCCTGCCGGTGGGGTACGTCAAACACACTCAAAGCTCCCCCCTTGCCAGGGGGATTATGATCAACAAAGCATGTCCTACACCTGCACCGGCCACTACAATGGAAACTCTGTGGGCCAATGAAGATGCAGGGAGAGACTAGTTATTAAAGACCCCCACCAATGAAATGGATTACATTAACCCTTTCTGTTGTTCCTCTTCTCCAGCCTTGAACATTAAACTGACATTCTATGACTAAAAACAGCATTTGGCTACAGAAATGGCACACCTGTTTCTCTATTAGTCAGGATATCGTGTTCTTTCACTCATTAGAACAGTTGATTGAATCTTTTTTGCAATGGAAGCTGTTGAGGTGTTGGACAGCTTCTTCAGAGAATTAAATAATGAAACAAAATGAATGCAGTGAGTTTAGGAAGAAAACATGTTACACTCAACCCACATCGAACGGCAGAAAAAGGATTCTGAAAGCGGCGAACTTAAAGAATACAAGGATTTGAACATTAGTACCACATTAAATGAATACAGGCAGAGGTAGATAATATCATTAATATGCAGACATGGACAAAATAGTCGGTACCCTTTAGTAAATGGAAAAACCCAAAATGGTCACAGAAATAACTTTAATCTGACAAAAGTAATAATAAATTAAAAATCTTTGAAATTTAACCAAAACCCAAAAGTCAAATATTGCTTTTCATCAAGGCTACATGTAATTAATTAAAAATAAACTCATGGAACAGGCCAGAACAGAAATGATGGTACCCCTAGAAAAGACTGAACATTATGTGATCACAGGGACATGCTCATTCAAGTTGTTTCAAATCACAGAGACAAATAATCTGAGTGGTAACAAAAGAGCCCAGAAAAAACCTCTAAAGAAGGTTCATTTCAAGCTTAAGGAGCATCAGAGTCAGATCACACCATCTATCGTTTGATTGCAGCGATTTCCTCAAAAGGTTGTGCAACTAAATATGAAGTTAAGGGTACCATCATTTTTGCCCAGTCCGGTTTCATGAGTTTATTTTAATTTAATATTTCTGTTTAAGCATGTTTCAAGCAATGTCTGACTTTCATTGGTTAAATTTCATAGAATTTCTATTTATTACTACTTTTGTCAGATGGAAGTTATTTCTCCCCGAGGTTCTGGAGAGGATGGTCCAGCGGATTGTCGATCCTCGGATTGAGGAGAAGCAACGTGGTTTTCGTCCTGGCCGTGGAACACCGGACCAGCTCTATACCCTTAGGGGGATCCTGGAGGGTGCGTGGGAGTTTGCCCAACCAGTCTACATGTGTTTTGTAGGTTTGGAGGAAGTGTTCTACTGCGTCCCTCGGGGGGGGGGGGGGGGGCCCTTTGGGGGGTACTTCAGGAGTATGGGGTACCAGGCCCTATGATACAGGCTATTACATACCTGTATGACCGGTGTCGGGCTCATTCCCAGTGAGAGTTGGACTCCGCCAAGGCTGCCCTGTGTCACCGATTCTGTTCATAACTTTTATGAACAGGATTTCTAGGTGCAGCCAAGCTGTTTTGGTCGCCTGAGGATTAAGTCTCTACTTTTTGCAGATGATGTGGGTCTGTTGGTTTCATCAGAATGTGGTCTTTAGCTCTCACTGGATCGGCTCGCAGCCGAGTGTGAAGCAGCTGGGATGTGAATAAGCTCATCTAAATCCGAGACCGTGGTCTTAAATCAGACAAGGGTAGAATGCCTTCTCGGGGTCAGGGATGAGGTCCTGCCCCAAGTGGAGGAGTTCAAGTATCTCGGGGTCTTGTTCACGAGGGATGGAGCGCGAGATCGATAGGTGGATTGGTGCTGCATCTGCAGTGATGCGGGCGTTGTATCGATCTGTCGTGGTGAAGAGAGAGCTGAGCCGGAAACCAAAGCTCATGATTTACCAGTTGATCTACGTTCCTACCCTCACCTATGGACACGAGCTATGGGTAGTGAGCAAAAGAATTAGATCGCTGATACAAGCAGCCGAAATGAGTTTTCTCCACAGGGTGGCTGGGCTCTCCCTTACAGATAGGGTGAGAAGCTCGGTCATACAAGAGGGGCTTGGTGTAGACCCGCTGCTCCTCCACATCGAGAGGAACCAGTTTTGGTGGCTCAGGCGTCTAATTAGGATGTGTCCTGGATACCTTCCTGGTGCGCTTGTTAGCTCGTTAGCCTGTTTGCCGCCATCACGGTAGCTAAGTGACTAGACCTAGGGGCGGGGATAAAAACGAAGCTAGAACTGAGCCGCTAGAATTCAGAGTCGCTGACTTCCGGTTTAAGTAGTC